ACGAGCTCTTGAGAGACAAACTGTAATGTCAACCTGGTGTCTATGGTTTATGTACTTTGAGCTGTTAATGGGTATAATACATTAATTCAATATTTTCTCATTAGAGTCTTTAATGCAAAGGTTTTGTTTCTTTGAGGTTCACTTTTCTCTTTTGTAAACAATTTAAGAAAGCTTCATTTTAATTTTCTTTCAAGAGCAAATCAATATAATTTTTATCTGTTGCCACGGGGCCCTTAAACAGTATGGGGCCCATAGGCCAATGCCTATTTTGTCTATTTTATAATTCGGCACTGGTTGCAGCCAATTGGCTGCAATGCTGATCAGTGTACTCTGACAGCAGAGGCATTTCAGCTGTGCTATTGTATTGTATGATAGCGGGGACTCCTCCATCCAGCTCACTTGTGTGGATGGGGGAATCCATTTGTTTTTTTCCCTCATTGTGGTGTGGTGAACAAAAGAAATAGCTAAGTCTGCATACCCAGCGTAAAACTCCCTGGTTCCTCTTTTAGACAAACACGTCCATAACAGCAAACAAATCAAATAGGCATTCCTGTGGAAAGGTTTGCTGTTGTTGACATCACCCTGCCACAATACTAACTGCCATCTATTATAATTCTTGCATTAGTTCACATTTCTAGCCAATTACCCATTTGTTCTCTATTGATTTAATTTCCCTGTGCAATAGGGAGGGTATTTGAGCTCATGTCTTCCTTTCTTTTATGTCCCAATATCAGTCTGGGCATTACATTTTAATCCTGTGAGGTTTGTAACATCCCAGTGTCCTCTAGCATACAATGTTTACAAAATGTACAAAAAACTGCTTAGAATGACAAATTCTAAAAATAAACACACCATTATTCTGTTTTATGCCCATAGATGGCAGATGACCTTCAAGTGGTTGTAAAGGTTCTGTGCAGAATCCCCATCAGCCTCCCTAATATTCACCTAAGCCCCCTCTTGATCCAGCGATGTGCACTGGAGTCTCGGCTATCCCAGGACTCCCTCTCCTCATTGGCTAAGACAGCAATGGGGGGGGGGGGTGTCAGCAGGGCCAGTGCTACACTATTTTGTGCCCTAGACAGGACCAGCTACCTGCAACCCCCCCCTCCCCTCTCACAAATAAAAAAAAAAAAAAAATTTATAACAGTAGAAAATATTAAATCAACAAAACATGAAATGACTAAATCTCTTTTAATTTGCAGAAATAAGTGCCATAATATGCCCCCAGCAACAATATTAAAGACAAAATTAGTGTCATGGACGGATGTGTCCAAATGTATCTGTGGCTGGCAGTGACAGGGTGACAGTTGCAGTGAGTGGAGGATGATGGATCCACACTCTGACAGATCCCAGGCTGGAATTCCCCAGGCAATGGGGGGGGGGATAAAACACTGTGACAACAGGCAGCCCAGCCCACACATACAGAGAGAACACCTGAACTGAGAGATCCAACACAGTGACAGATCCGACACAACACACCACCACCAACACTGACACAGATCAGCAGGTCCAGCAGGCACTAGAAGAGCAGGCTGTGGGATCGTGATGATGTCATCACTCACTGACACATTGTACATGTGATGGATGGCCAGCCGGGTCACGCTCACACAGACACGAAACATCAGTGTCAGACATTACCTTCCTTCGCAGGTGCAGCTCCGCCTCCAAGGATGAATGAGAAGAGAAGGGCAGGAATGCCACAGTGATCAGCAGCTGTCAGCCGGCTTGCAGTAAGGGACTGAGTCTGAGAGGAACACTGGAAAGAGTGGCAGCTCAGCTGCTACACTGTCCCCATGCACTCGGCATCTTCCTCTGTCCTTTCTTCCTCCCCTCTGCCGCCCCTCCCCTCAGCTGGAGGATCATTCATGATGTGGCAGCGTCCCACACAAAAGGATTGCCGGCCTGTGCTGCACCCAGGTGCCCCTAGGTGGTAGTGCACCCTAGGTGGCTTCCTAGTTTACCTAGTGGAAGCACCCGCTCATGTGTTGGGACAAGTCTGAACATTGGAGGAGAGCAGGCTGAATTCCCAGCATAGCTACAGAACTGACCATGTTGTGCTCTCGTGTAATCAGTTTCTGATAGGAAAGCAGAGGGACTGGCAGGATCACCATGTATTTCACACAAAGGAAGCAATACAAAGAGAACAGGATACATTTTTTCATACAAGTGCATGGTGCAGCAGACACATATCAGGAATATAAAATGTTGGGTTTACATATTATTTAATATTTTCTCTACAGTAAGGTAAAAAATGCCTAAGTATTTTTCTATGCCCCCCCCCCTCCGCCCCAAATACTTATTCACAGTTCCTTTTCAATACTGACGTGTCCCGGATGATCTGTGCTTCTTCTCTGAACTTTCCAGCTTTGAAGGCAGTGGAGTAATAGGCTACTGCTGCTGTCAGTCAGATTGCTGGGGGGAGAAGGGTGCAGGGGTGTGCGTGAATTGTACAGGCGCTGTATGCATATAGCATCATCCAGGTTTCTCCTTAGCAGCCAGTTAGTCACAAGTAAGCATTAGGTAGGGGAATTTATTACGTACCTATGTAGTGCTGTCAATTTACACAGCGCTTTGCATACACTATATTGCCAAAAGTATTGGGACGCCTACCTTTACACGCAGATTAATTTTAATGGCATCTTAGTCTTAGTCCGTAGGGTTCAATATTGAGTCGGCCCTGCCCTTTGCAGCTATAACAGTTTCAACTCTTCTGGGAAGGCTGTCCACAAGGTTTTGGAGTTTCTATGAGACTGAGTTTGACCATTCTTCCAGAAGCACATTTGTGAGGTCAGGCACTGATGTCGGACGAGAAGACCTGGCTCGCAGTCTCTGCTTTAATTCATTCCAAAGGTGTTCTATCTGGTTGAGGCCAGTCAAGTTCCTCCACACCAAACTCACTCATCCATCATTATGGACCTTGCTTGTGCACTGGTGTGCAGTCACGTTGGAACAGGAAGGGGCCATACGCAAACTGTGCCCACAAAGTTGGGAGCATGAAATTGTCCAAAATGTCTGAATCCAATGATTTGGAGGTGTGTCCCAATACTTTGGCAATATAGTGTGTGTAGCACTACCCCCTTAGGGGCCGCTGGATTTGATTTGGGTCCCCCTACGCTCTGCATGGCCAGGCAACACGCATTTCCATACCTTGCACACTGGAGTCAAAGAACAGTCCTTGAGCTTGTTTTTGTGTTTTTTTTAAGGGGTTAAGAACTTGGATCAGGTTTAGAGGTATATAGGATGCCCAAGGCATTGTAGAACTTGAGGACCAACTATGTACAAAAATGTGGATAGCAGCAGTCTCTTTCCTTGAAGAGCTCCAAAGACTCTTCTTAGTGTACCTCCTCAGATCCCTGAGGATTACTCCTCTTCACCCAGCTGTACTGAGGTTATTCCCTGGGCAAGGGGGCCTAAGAGCTGTTAGATTGCTGATTAGTTGCTGCAGATTTGTCAGCTGCGCATCCATTATGCAAATTTCCTGTTCCACCACTTCCCAAAGGTGCTCTATTGGATTGAGATCTGGTGACTGTGGAGGCCATTGGAGTACAGTGAACTCATTGTCATCTTCCAGAAACCAGTTTCAGATGATTTGAGCTTTGTGACATGGTGCATTATCCTGCTGGAAGTAGCCATCAGAAGATTGGTACAATTTAGTCATAAAGAGATGGACATGGTCAGCAACAATACTCAGGTAGGCCATGGTATTTAAACAATGCTCAATTGGTACTAAGGGGCCCAAAGTGTGCCAAGGAAATATCCCCCACACCATTACACCACCACCACCAGCCTGGACCATTGATACAAGGCAGGATAGATCCATGCTTATGTGGTGTTTATGCCAAATTCTGACCCTACCATCTGAATGTCGCAGCTGAAATTGAGACTCATCAGACCTGGCAACTTTATTCCAATCTTCTGACAGGAGTGGCACCCGGCGTGGTCTTCTGCTGTTGTAGCCCATCTGATTCAATGTTCGACATATTGTGTGTTCAGAGATGCTATTCTGAATACCTTGATTGCAACAAGTGATTATTTGAGTTACTGTTGCCTTTCTATCATCTCAAACTAGTCTGCCAATTCTCCTCTGACCACTGACATAAACAAGGCATTTTCATCCACAAAACTGCCGCTCAATGGATATTTTATCTATTTCGAAGCATTCCCTGTAAACCCTAGAGATGGTTGTGTGTGAAATCCCAGTAGATCAGCAGTTTCTAAAATACTCAGACCAGCCCGTCTGGCACCAACAACCATGCCACATTTAAAGTCACTTAAATCCCCTTTCTTCCATTCTGATGCTCAGTTTGACCTTCAGCAAGTCGTCTTCACCACGTCTAGATGTCTAAATGCATTGAGTTGCTGTCATGTGATTGACTGATTAGCAATTTGTGTTACCAAGCAATTTAACAGATGTACCTAATAAAGAGGCCAGTAAGTGTAAGTACCTGTAATAAATAAATATTTCATATAGTGCAAATACATAAAATGTTCATAATCAATGAATATATTACATAGAATGAAATAGTTATAGTTAAAGCTGAACTCAGGATAAGAAAATATACACATACAAAAGTCATGTGTATTCTTGTTTAAATCTTGGTGTGCTATGTGTATTGCAGTAAGGGAGTGAGTCTGAGAGTCAAGACACTCCCAGCAGGTAAGAGGTAACACAGGACCGACAAGCACATCTGAGTCATCATTACCTAGCATGTCAGACTTTGAAAAATGAGTACGAGGCAGTAGGTGTGAGAGATGCTGCAAAACCCAATGATACCTGCCAGGGGCGGACTGACAACTCATGGGGCAATAGGGTATCATGGGGCCCCTGTGTCCTTGCCCGAACTCAAAAAAGCCTATGAAAAAGGCACCAGGGGCATCTCATGGGGCCCCCTACTGACCCCCCGGGCAATAGGGGATCATGGGGCCCCTGTGTCCTTGCCCAAACTCAAAAAAGCATATGAAAAAGGTACCAGGGGCATCTCATGGGGCCCCCTACTGACCCCCCGGGCAATAGGGGATAATGGGGCCCCTGTGTCCTTGCCCAAACTCAAAAAAGCCTATGAAAAAGGTACCAGGGGCATCTCATGGGGCTCCCTACTGACCCTGGGCCCCCTCGGGCAGTGCCCAATTTCCAAATGGTCAGTCTGCCCCTGAAAACTGCTGTGTACATTTCTTACATTATCACATGAACCCTATGAATTATCCCCAGTCTCAGGTTGCTGGGTCTGTACAGGCTATTGCAGACAGCTAAAAAAATAAAATTTTTGTACATATCATAAAATCTTTTTTTTCAAGCCCCTCGAGCGACACAGGAATTATAGTCTTTGATGAATGAGTTATACTGCTGCCTTGGGGAGGTTCAAACACTAGCAAACAAAGAGAATTAAGCCAATACCCCATAGAAACCCACCTGCAACTGTCAAGCCTTGGTTTTGTGACCTGTGTTCCTCAATGGACTCGAAGAAAAAGATTTTACAGTAAGTACAAAAATATTCATTCTTGCAGCCATTGAGAAATACTGTGAAAACTGCGATTGTTCACAGCTTGTCACATGGTACAAGGCTGTTGTGAATAGCCTTGTACCATGTGACCTCTGTGATCATTCACTAGTAGTAAGCAATGATGTCAGAAGTGACATCTTGCTTACTACTATTCATGTGATCACTGATTGGCCAATCAGTGATCACATGATCAGGACCTCACATAGAGGTCCCGTACAGCAATCAGTGTTCCGTTGTGTCCTCCGGACACAGTGGGCACCGGATCGCGGTGCCGCGCACGCTCCGTGCACAAGCTAAAATGGCGGGCGCCGTTTAAAATGGCGCGCTCCTGCACTGCTCCTGTCTGGCCGTTTATATACATGGGCCAGACAGGAAGTGGTTAACGAACTCGAAGAAAAAGATTTTACAAAAATGCAAAAATATTTTATTTTCTTGTTCATTGAGCACAGGAATTGTACATAGTGTTTGCAGAATGGGGTGTCCAAAGGCAGTCCAACTGAGATGTGCCACTTAGAACCCCTTAGAGATCCAAGCATTGTGGAAATAATCCTTCATAGGGTATCAAAGGAAACAATACCTGAAGAGGAGACTGGATGGAGAAGGGCCAAGACAAATTAGACCATCATGTATAAGTAGAACAGTACAAGACCTATAAGAACAGGAGAACTAAACCTCATAGCAATGTAGTCAAACAGTAGAAGATTTTTCTAGTAATTAAGTCATTGCTTGGACAACCCAGAAGGAGGGTTAAGTCTAGTGGGGAACTCTTGTGATCAGGGAGAGGAAGCCTGGATATTTTCAGATGAAAGGTGAATTAGTGAGCTGCTAAGCTCAGTAGGACATACCTAACTAGAGATGCGCACAATGGAAAAATTAGTTTTGTTTCAAATTCGTTTGTTATGTTTTGTCAGGCTTTTGACACTGTCAGTCACAAAGGTCTGTGGCGCATCCTGTCGAAATTTGGTTGCCCTGACAGATTTAACCTAATAGTAAGTCAGTTCCATGACGGCATGATGGCTCATGTTTTGGATGACGGAGAAGCTACAGAGGCCTTTCCCGTTACCAACAGCGTCAAGCAAGGTTGTATGTTGGCACCGACCCTGTTCAGTATAATGTTTTCAGCCATGCTGTCAGACGCCTTCCAGAACAGTTCTTTGGTAGTTAGCCTGAGATACAGGACCGATGGGAAACTGTTCAACCTGAGAAGACTCCAGGCTGTCACCAAGGTAAAGGAGATGGTGCTATGAGACCCCCTTTTTGCTGATGACTGTGCCCTGAATGCTGGATTAGAGCACGAAATGCAAGCCAGTTTGGATAAATTCGCAGCAGCATGTGACAACTTCAGCCTCCTCATCAACACAAAGAAGACCAAAGCAATGCCTCAGCCAGCTCTGAAAGCCCAATACCAAGAGCCCCCACCATCAGAATGAAGGGACAAAAGCTGCAAGCAGTGGACCAATTTACATACCTTGGCAGCACCCTATCCCACGCAGTGACAATTGACATTGAGGTCACCTGCAGAATCGCCAAGGCAAGCTCTGCATTTGGTAGACTACTGACCAACGTGTGGGACCGCCGTGGAATAAGCCTTGCCACAAAGCTCAAAGTCTACCGAGCAGTAGTGCTAACTACCCTGATGTATGCCAGTGAGAATTGGGCTTTATACAGGAGGCATGCTAGGCAATTGAACCACTTCCAAATGACCTGCCTCCGCAGACTTCTGAGGATCTGTTTGCAGGACAAGGTGCCACACACAGAAGTCCTCTCCAGAGCAGGCCTGCCATCAGTTCACACCCTGCTGATGAAAGCCCAGACACGCTGGGCAGGCCATGTTGTAAGGATGCCAATCCACTGCATCCCTGAACAGCTCCTCTATGGTAAGCTGTCTCAAGGAAGGCGATCGCAAGTGGGACAAAGGAAGTGGTACAAAGACACACTGAAAGCTTCCTTCAAGTCCCTGGATATTGACACCACCTCTTGGGAAACCCTGGCACAAGATCAATCGACATGGCGCATGTTGATCCACCAAGGCTGCCAGATATTTGTGGAGAGAAGAACAACCACAGCACAAGAGAAGCGTGCACTCCGCAAAGCCAGAGCTGCAAATGCTGCAACGGTGGTGCCCACATATGTCTACCCAACATGTGGCAGAACATTTCGTGCCTGTTTAGGCCTTACCAGCCACCTACGGACACACTGTGGACAGCCCAATACCTGTTAGATGTCAAGGTCCTCTTCGAACACAATGGACGTACATCATTTTAGAATGATTTGTTTTCAGAATTTGTCTCGTATATTCATTTTTTCAAATTGTTTCGAAATTCAAAAATATATTTGTTATTTTTAAATCAATTGGAGTTTCGAAATTCGGCTATATTTGTTCTAATTTATTCTGTTCTATTTTTATGTTTTCTTTTCTTTTCTATTCTACTGTGTTCTTTTCTGTTCTATTCTTTTCTGTTTTATTCTTTTGCATTATATTCCATTCTTTTTATTCTATTCTGTTTTATTCTGTTCTTTTCTATTCTATTCTGTGTTATTCTATTTTCTATTTCTTTAATTTATTTCTCTTAGATTGTAAGCTCCAAGGAGCAGGGCACTCCTAACCCTCTTGTATTGAACTGTATTGTTGCTGTATTATCTCCCATTATATTGTACAGCGCTGAGCAAACTGTTGGCGCTATATAAATCCTGTATAGTAATAATAATAATAATAATAATAATTTTCTATTATATTCTGTTTTACTCTTTTCTACTCTTTTCTATTCCTTTTTATTCTATTTTATATTCTATTCTATTGTATTCTATTCTATCCCTGTCCTATTCTGTTTTATTCTATTTTATTCTGTTTGAATCTATTTTTTAAAATTCTATTCTCTTATTTTCTATTCTGCCAATTATATTACATTCTTTTCTATACTATTCTGTTTTATTCTATTCTTTTCCATTCTATTTTATAAAGCAGTCTAAGTAGGAATTATCATCTTATTTCACTTTTATATCTTACTGTATTTATTGCAATATGTTTCTATTTTGAAATTAAATTCATTTTCAAATTTGAAAGAATTGTTTTGTTATAATTTATTTTGGATTCACTGAAATTCATTACTTTTGATATTCAGAAATTCAGATACATCCAAATCTCTGAATAACAAAATTTTTTTTTCAGAATTTGCTTCGGAAACAAAACAAATCACACATGTCTATGCCTAACAATTGACATCAGGGAGAGGATAATCCACAACAAAAAAGAAAATTTTCCAAGCGAAAAAATATACTCCACTACTCTGGAGCCCATAATGGTGAAGAGAAGAGCAATCACCAACCCCTTCATAAAAGGGGGCTAAGCAACTATAGAATGTCAAGGGTCTCTCCAAACAACATCTAAGGGTGTTCTAGGAGTGTGGTATTGTCTCAGCCAACCTGCCTATGAAATATCAGTACAAATCTTGCAGGTTAAGTCATGTGCTGAGCTGCAAAGGTAGGAATCATTGGACTGATCCTAGGATAATGCAGCATTTAAAGGTGACAGGGAAGAATCTATGGAGTCTTCTGCACAATACTTAGAATAGAATAAATGTATTAAATATATGCGCTGTGTGGGGCTTTCTGAATTACCCTGGTTTAAAAGGAGTGGCTATGGTATTCAGAGAAGTAGAAGGCTTACAATAGATGTACAGTATATTTTCTAGGAATATAGAAGATGGATACACACAAGGAAATCGTTTACTCAGAGACGTAACTGGAACCTTCAGGGCCCTGTGCAAGAAACCATGAAGGGCCCGCCGGCCCCCTTCCCACTGATCCCACAGCCCTTACCATTTTATTTATTTTTTTTTTTTACAATTGTATTTTCTATTATTTTTTTTACATATTTTTTAGGGCCCCTTTTGGGGGGCTTTGGTGAAATATCAGGGGTTTAAACAGATCCCTGATGTCTTACTTTTCAGATAGAGAAGGGACTGAGAACAGATTAATTGGCCGCAACAGCACAGAATGAATGAAAAGAAATAGCTCTGTACAGAGCTTCCCATTAATTCATAAACTGAAGTATAGTAAATACAGTTTACTATACCTCAGATATGAATGAATTAAAAAAAAAGGCAGTGATCAGTACCGATCACGGATTCTATTCAATAAGACAGGGAAGGGACCAGTAAATTATTATTATTATACAGTATTTATAAAGCGCCAATAGTTCGCTCAGCGCTGTACATTACAAAGGGGGACAGAACATGTGACAGAACAATACCAATACAATGCAAAACATGAGGGGATCGAGGGCCCTGCTCTCTTTCGAGCTTACAATCTAGAAGGGAGGGGGTAGTGGTACAGGAGGAGATGGCTGTGGGGGATGGAGTGGTAGGAAGAGTGGAAGAGGTCGGCAAGTTAGCAGGGGGTGGGGTAGGCTTTCCCTGAAGAGATGGGTTTTCAGGGCGCGCCTAAAGGAGAAGAGAGTAGGTGATAGTCTGATGGATTGGGGTAGGGAGTTCCAGAGGATGGGTGACACCCTGGAGAAGTCCTGGAGGCGGGCATGGGAGGAGGAGACCAGGGAACTAGAGAGAAGGAGGTCTTGTGAGGAGCGGAGTGTGCGTGCTGGGTGGTACTTGGATATTAGGTCGGTGATGTAGTTCGGGGCAGTATGGTGGACAGCTTTGTACGTCAGTGTTAGGATTTTGAATTTTATCCATTGCGCAATTGGAAGCCAGTGGAGGGATTGGCAGAGGGGGGGTGGTGGAGACGGAGCGGTTGGAAAGGTGAATGAGTCGGGCAGCCGTATTCAGGATCGACTGAAGCGCGGGGATAGCCAGCGGCGAGGCAGGCCAGTGAGGAGGGAGTTGCAGTAGTCGAGTCGTGATATGATGAGGGAGTGAATGAGCTGTTTAGTGGTTTCTGGAGTTAGGAACGTGCGTATTTTGTCAATTTTGCGGAGGTGGAGTCTGCACGAGTTTGTTAAAGATTGGACTTGGGGCTGGAAGGATAGGTTGGAGTCCAGAATGACACCAAGTACTCTGGTCTGCGAGCGGGTTTGATGGTGGTGTTGTTGGATGTGATGGAGAAGTCAGTGGGGGGGTGGTGTGCGGGCTGGGGGGGAAGACAAGAAACTCGGTTTTGGAGAGGTTCAGTTTAAGGAAGTGGAGCGACATCCAGTCTGATATGTCGCTCAGTAGGTGTGTGATTTGGGTGGAGACCGAGGGGGTGAGGTGGGGGGTTGAGAGATAGATTTGTGTGTCGTCGGCATAGAGGTGGTAGTTGAAGCCGTGAAAGTGTATGAGTTGGCCAAGGGAGGAGGTATAGATGGAGAAGAGAAGGGGCCCAAGGACAGAGCCTTGAGGGACCCCAACAGAGAGGGGGAGTGAGGGGGAGGTGGTAGCATTATAGGTAACGCTGAAAGAGCGTTGTGACAGGTAGGATGAGAGCCAGGAGAGAGCAGAATCTCTGAGGCCAAGGGAGTGTAGTTTTTTGAGGAGGAGGGGGTGGTCGACTCTGTAAATGACCAGTCCCTTATCCACTTTCCATCCTGACAGATTCCTGGAGGTGAAAGGGGGAAACCCAACAGAGCTGTGGCTAAGAGCACAAGGAGGGGCCAGGGAAGCACACAAGAGCCCGGGGCAGCAGGACAGGGAGGCAATGGGAGCAGCATGTAGAGGAACCGATCCTTTCCATTTCCCTCCTGTGGCCACCGAATATCTGCAGGAGGGAGAGAAGGAGAAACAGGAATTTAGTGGCTGCATGGAGGGATCGATTCCACTACATGCTGCCGCCCTCCTATCCAAGTGTACAGGGGGCCGCACAGGCACCTGGAGCATAGAGCTGGGTTGCAACAGCCACCTTTGTCTCATACCCCCCTGCTCTTACTGACTAGATAGACATACAGAGCTTAGGAAAGCGCCACAAAGCAGAGCCCAGCGTCAGAGGTCACATTCCAGGTTGCTCCCCCACTGGGGTCTAGTTATGGTCTCTAAAGCCGTTACGGATACGCCAATCTTGATAGCTGCTGTATAGAGACAAGTCCAAGCAATGTTTCTTGAAGTGTTGTTTTGAGTTAATTGAATAAAAAATATCTATGGAGTATGTCATATGATGAGAAAATATGCTTGGGTGCATGCTGGGTGTAATATTCTGACACATAATGTGTTCCAGGTTTATGAAATGTGCCGGGTGTAATGGTCTGCAGTGTTTTGGATGTAGTTTCAGGCAATGTCCTGTGTACTGACCGTAATGGGGTGCAGTATGGTAGATGCCTTGACTGGCTTTATAGATGCTCCTGGCATGTGATTCTGAGTACTGAAGTCATTTGATCAACAGTTAGGCCAGGCAGAGAGTATTTTTGGAAAGGGAGCTCAGTGATGACAACACTCTATTTCTCTTTAAAATAATTATTTCAGGTTCATGTTGCTCTCATTGCTGAGATTTCTCCAGTGATGTCGGCCTCATATTCTGTGTTTTTATTGCTTGTGCTTCCAGGTGGCAGTCATTACCTTCTGATGGATGAGATCTCCCGCATTCTCCATAACAATGGGCATGACGTGAGAATGTTCCTGCAGTACTGGGACGCAATGCTTCCAGGTGAGTGTACAGTAGAATGATCACAATCTCTAATGATCATTGCAGATGGAGTCAGATAAATGTGTAGCATTGTGCAAACTACTTGTTAGGAGTTATATAAAGCCCAAATCTACCCAAAATTATTTTTTTTATTGAGTTTTCAGTAGAATGCATAAGGCCCCTTTCACATGGGCTGATCTGGTTTTGCTCAGCAGGGAATATGTCCGTTGATCCCCTGCTGAGCTGAGCTGAGCGAGCGGAGCGGCCAGATGACAGGTCCGTGTCTGTTTCATTTATCCAGAGTGGACATGAACACAGCCCGCTTTGCTCTATGGGTAGCTGGATGTAAAAGGAGCAGTTGTTTCTTTACACTGGACTGCCCATAGAGCCGAATAGAGGGTTACATAGTTACATACTTACATAGTTAGTTTGGATGAAAAAAGACAAAAGTCCATCCAGTTCAACCATAGAAAAAAAAAAGTTATAATCCTACACCCACAGTTGATCCAGAACAAGGCAACAAACCAGCAAAACATGATCCAATTTGCTCCTGCAGGGAAAAAAATTCCTTCCTGATCCCTCGAGAGGAAATTGGATATTCCTTGGATCAACTTTACCTATAATTGTTAGTATCCAGTTATATTCTGTGTATCCAAGAAAGAATCCAGGACTTTTTTGAAGCAATCCACTGAGCTGGTCAGAACCAACTCTTGAGGGAGTCTATTCCACATTTTCACAGTTCCATTGGGTCTGCCTGAAAACCGGACAGGAGGACCTGATAGGACCACTCGTGTGAAAGCGGCCTAGGGGGTAGAACCTCTTTCAACATTTGATTGCAGTCTGCTCCCTATTAGGCAAAATCCCCCCAGTTACTGCCAGTTCTACAGGTGTCAGTCAGAACAGGAAATGAGAGGAAAGGGCTCAGTGACACATACTGGGATGGATGAGTGACCTTGGGTGTAAACTGCTTCCAGGGTCGCACATCCATCCCTGTAGACAAGGAAACAGAGAACAGTTCTAAAACAAAAAAAAAAGGTGCATTTGGGATTTAAAGCAAACCTGTGGGTTGTGGGAACTTGGTGGCCTCAGCAGCCGTCATACCAGTGACTAGTGAAAGGGTCAATTATAGTATACCCAAAGGATAGTGAATGGTAGAAGCTGGGGTTTACCCACATGGAAGAAAAATATATTTTAAAAATATTCTTCCCAAATATATTGACTTATATTTGAAATGCTACAATGTTGGCCATATTCAATATATTTCAATATATTTTATGGCTGTACCTTGTTAGACCATTTTCAATATATTCAGTTCACCGCACTCCACCTCTGTGTATTCTCTGCTGCTGTTACACCACACCGCACACGGCTCACAAGGTTGTTCAATTTCTCCAAGCTTCGACCTTAAGCCCTGGCTTATACCAATTCATCTGGCGATTTTGTCACCTCATTTGCGGCAATGGAACCATTCATATAGATGTGACTCAAGTCTCAGCGACTTTGAAAAAGGTTCCTGCATCACTTTTCTGTGATTTTATTGCTACTTGCATTGGCTTCTGTTAAATGAAGTCACAAACTGCAATGAAATCGAACATCCAATCTGCGGTTTTTACATCATTCAATTTCAAAGCCGAACCAAATCTAAAACCTAGAATCTGATTGGTTATGATAAAGATCATTTAAAAGAAATGTAGGAAGGAGGAATGTATTTTCAGGACTGCAATCTGCTAACATTCACTCAAGCAGGTCTGAGGGGTTTTATGCCAGTTGTGGGTACAGGCTGCAGGGGCCACTATGGAAGTAGCTGCCAAAGTACATAATACTAATACACTGTACTCTCTTTTTGATGCTCAGGTTACAAGCGGCCACCAAGTCCATATCCAGTGACCACGTATTCCCTTGATGAGAAATATCTGCAAGAATTTAAAAATATGTTTACAGAAGTCCAGAAGACATTTCTACAGGGCAGGTATGGGGAATAATGTAGAGATGGATCCTTGCTCTTTGTGTGAAAACAGTGATCTCTCTGCAGAGGTATGACATTTCCCTTTCTGAGTTAGAGCAAGGGCTTGCCAATCAGCAGGGAGCAGGAGATTTGATGATCAGGGAGCTCTAGCTCCTACTCAGCAGGAGGTGTGCAGGACATCTGCAGAGAGACCACTGCTTCCATAGAGAGAGTAAAGGTCTGCAGAATCCTGGCAGGGGACAGGCTTTTCTACTTAGCCCATGGCACCTTTCCAAAGAAAACAAACTGCATTTTACACACCTTTATTTTTTTAAGTTTAGTGGGACTTTATCTGTGCTTTACCGGTGCAGCTGGTCAGACTCTGCATTCTGCGTTTGTTGCAGTTTCACATGCAAGCACAATCTGACACTGCTGTCATGGCAGCTTCTTTCGGTCATCCTGCTTACAAGTGAACAGAGGAACCGCTGGGCTGGCAAAGGGAAGACAGAGACTGGAAGAGCCACTTGCAGCTACCACCTCTTCTGGCTGTAAGTGAACATGCGGTAACAGCCTCCTGAATCCCTACCACTACCTGTGACAGTAACAGGAGGGAAGTGATTGCAGCACTGCCTAGGAGGAGGAAAGCCAGCCCCCAGTCAAGTACGAACTGCTGGTAGTTGCAAGGACTGGTGGGGGGGGGGGGGGGGGTGCAGTTTCAGTAGCCTGATCCAGTAAAGAACACCGTGGGACTATACGTCCCAGAGAGGAAGTGTTGTGGAGGAAAGAGGAAAAGGACTTGAAGGTCTGAGGCTCGGGATTCTTTGAGCCACTGGACCTGGAGTGTGTTACTGCACCTATTCAGAAGCCAATGTTGCCACTGGACCACCAAGGGTGTGTAGGGGATTGTGCCTGAACATCTGTAACTTTGCCTGGGATCGCTGCAACAGTGTTCAGAGGCAGTCCAACTTTGTGTCTCGTGTTCTGGATGCCCACGACAGGGAGAAAACTATGGCAAACATCTGAATGTTGCTATCCTCCTCTCAAAGAGACAGCACCAACCTAAATTGGGACCCCTTGGTATTCAGTTTGAGGATTATCCCCATATTTTTACCGGGATTACAAATATTCTCTTTAAGAGCGCTCCAATATGATCATGGGCCCAAAAGCTGGCCATCGTCAAGCGCTTCAGAAAGAGGCTGGGTGGGCTCAAAACACGTAGCCATGCCCTCTTAGTGACGTTTCAGGAGGTGACATCACTTCTGATCAGGGGTGGACTGACCATTTGGAAACTCGGGCACTGCCCGAGGGCCCGGGGTCAGTAGGGGGCCCCATGAGATGCCCGTGGTACCTTTTTCATAGGCTTTTTTGAGTTTGGGCAGGGACACAGGGGCCCCATGATCCCCTATTGCCTGGGGGCCCCATGAGTTGTCAGTCCGCCCCTGCTTCTGATCCATCATGCTCTCCACTCATCTCACCAAATACTTTTGGTATAGGACACACCTGCTACAGATACCATGATGCTGCAGACCTTGGACTTTTTGATACACACTGATTTTTCCACATACAGTATCTTTGAGTTGCCTACTTTGTGTGTTCACCATCCCTGTATATACTACACTTAGTCTGCACCCTCTGGTGTTCTCTTGACCTTATAGATATACCCAGCTGATAGCACTGCATAGTTTATCCTGGACTGAAATCTGGCTCACTACTGTGCTGAGATCCACACCATTCTAGACTGACTTTGATGATAAGCTAATCTATACTGGCTATATGTGAGTTTCCAATTTGCTGTTTTTATTGATAAATGTACCATACTTACTACACTCAAATCACGTCCTCAGCGTGAATTCACCCTGGAGCTTCTGTTAGAGTATGTTTCTCCTGACCAATGGTGGGAGTTAAGGAGTGACTGAGACATTTAGCCCCAGAGCGAATATATCACGTAAGCATAAGGATTTTACCTCCTTGAGCCAGGTTCCAGATACCTTGTGAAATTTAGTTTAATGCTACCCTGTTTGCAAATTGTTATTAGTGCAAGTGATATTTGTTTGCTGTTGTTTTCACTTCTGTTTGCTTTGCTGGGCATGTTACCCAAATAAACCCCCTCTTTTTTTAAGCCCTAATGTGTCAAATGGGAATGGTACTACCGGAAAGATGATTGTGAGTAAATAATGACAGAGACAATGAGTTGGAGCATCACCATGGACCTTGTCACTGTCACTGAGTAAAACCCAGTGGAAACATTGATAAAATCCTCATTGGAATGGGGGGAGCTCAAGTACAGACCGCTAACTCTGTGTCCCCAGCTTCTTTAAGAAAGATCCCTGGGTAAACTAGTAGACCCTTCACCCATCGTATCAGTCCAAGTAGAGGGCAATAATACAAGGGCATTTCTTGATTCAGGAGCACATAAAACTCTGTTGTATCAGGATTTCTATGATAAACATCCAAAGCACCAAACCCTTCGGAAGTTGGATGATCTGCAGATTTAGGGTATAGGAATTGAGAAGTTTGCTTATGACTGGTATTTGCCAGTGCAGTTGGCATTTAACCTCTCCTTAGTCAGGCAGTCGCAGGCATTCAAGACCTTAGCTATTGCGTGTCCTCATCGCACTGGATCCAACAGGAGTTCACTGATAGTAGGGATAAATACCCTTGCATCAGGCAATTGTTCACTCCCCTTGTCTCAGAGAGAGAAACAGGGACAGATGGCGTACACCTCATG